TACTGCTGATAATCGTTATATAATATCAACTGGTTATTGGGATAAAATTTTTCGTGTACAAAATACTGATATAGCTAAAATTACACAAGTACTCTATGGCCATTTTGATATTGTTACATGTGTATGTCGTTCGGAAGTAACTATTGCTGGAAATTTTTTTCTTGCAACTGGTTCACGTGGTTGTACAGTTTGTATTTGGATATGGAATGGTACAAAAGGTGCAATAGTTGATCGTGAATATCCAAATCAAGGTTATAGTTAAATTTTAAAAAAAGAAAAGAAATCATATATTATAACTAGCGAGAACCCGTGCATACTGCACGGCTGTTTTCTCTTTTCACGTACAACTTAAGACGTTTAACTTTTCATTCAAGAACAGACATACAGACATTCGATATTATGTATGTAGATAGATAGTCCTACGGTCTCATACTCTTATATCACACATATTTTTATAGACCATGTAGTCTTGGACCTTATAGCTTTGTATTCCTTGTAGCCATTGTAGCCTTATCCCCTTATTGCCTTAGTCCCTTGAGAATCTATGGCTATGCCCATATTATAGCTCTTCATGTCCTATAGATATACCATATAATAGCCCTTGAGGACCTATGGATTTCTCTATATAATAGCCCTTAAGGCCTTCCGCTTATAGGATTATTTGACTTTTAACCTTGAACCTTGGACGTGGGCACAGAGACGTCAGACAGACACTGAACAATATATATATATATATATATATAGATTTTTTTTGTTTTTATATAGAAATCAATCCATCACCAGCAGCAATTTTAACTGGCCATGATAGAGAAATCACATGTTTATGGATATCAGCTGAACTTGGTATTGTTTTAAGTGGTAGCGAACAAAGGCTCTTACGTCAACATACACTTAATGGTGATATATTACGTTCATTTGAAAATCCATCAAAAATATCTACACCACGTCTATTATCACCATCAAATGATGGTGATATTATTGTTTTTTATGATCGTTCAAAATTATGTTTATATACATTAAATGGAAAATTAA